GGAGTTGGTGCTGCTTTTCCTCTGTACTTTCCTACCACCTCTGTCATAGCGGTTTGCTGACTGAGAATCTCGACCCCTCCCTGCTGCAGTTCTTGTTCTGCTCGATCACAGGCAGCAGACAGTTCATTGACATCGGCCAACACTCGGTCCCTTTCAGTCTGTATTTTCTCCAAGTTTTTCGTGTGTATTTTGTTCCACTTTTGCCAAGAGTTCGTTGTAAGCCTGAGTGATAGCATTGTCTGTCTGCTGTTTTTGTTCATTCAGGATTTTCTCAGTCTCTCTCAGACCTCTGATGAAGCCACAGTAACTTTCCAGAATGTTCCTCCCCTCATGGATCAAGGCCTGGACTGTATCTCTGCTTTCCTGTGCAGCTTTTTTGATGGTTGTTAGAAGATGACCATTATGAGCCCCCTCTATGCACTTGTCACAAACTGGCATCTGACATTGTTTACAGTATATTCTGTACACTTCAGTAGGGTGAAAAAAGCACCTGTTTGCAGACTGGGGTTGCTGCCTTGTTTCCTCTGATGTTGTAGCTTGTTGTTGGAACTTCTCACACATGTTTGCTGCCATGAGATTGTCTGGCAAACCTGCGACCCCCGGGGTGGCAGCCTGACCTGACGACGACAGATTGGGCACCAGAAGGTCCCTCCCCACCCTGCAACACCCTGTAGGCAGCCCTGACAGAAGGTGTGCTGACAGGGCAGCACCTTGGGCCTGGTGAACAGCTCCAGGCAGATGCTGCAGGACAGTTCTTCACGGATTTGTGTCCCCAAACTAGACGGTGCAGCCGCCATTTTGCTGTGTTTTCAAATGTGTGACGCCAGAGCCGTCTAGAGTTTCAGTTAGGCATAGGGAAAAAATGTTTTGTTTCCTGTTTTAGTCATGTAAAAATTAGGGTTAGTAGGTAGGGATTTTTTTGTTGTTGTTTTTTTATATTTCTGAATCAGTGATATCTCTATAGGGGTCCAACTTGTACAATACAGTAAATTAGCAATTTGAAAGTAAAACTTGCATGAGGACAATTTTATTTTCAATGTCAATGTTAGAAAACCTAATACAACATTTTATCACTATTGTCAGATCAAGGAGCTAGAAAAGGTTGATCAGCTCAAAAAATTATTTATTTTCTGTGCAGGGGTCCACCCAAAAGAAGGCTGAGGGTTGGCAGGTTTTTCTAGGGTCGGTCGGGAAACAGGAAACACAACATTTTTTTCCTAGGCCTTACATGTATGCACCTTGGCTCAATGGCATTTGTATTCAGGGCTTTTGTTTACACTGATCAGGTCCGGTGGCTTTACCTGGCAATGTAAACTATGCTCTAAGCTTAAGGTATGTGGCCTTGGGAGAGAGTCAGAGAAACAGGGCTCGAAATTAATGGTGGTCCACTGACCACTAAATTTTAGGCTGGGACAGCTAAAAAGGACATTTTTGGGACAATAGAAAAATAATCAATATCAGAATATCAGCCACATTTGTTTATCAGGCACACGTCCCGGCTTTTGGATCCGGAAAAGTCCCCCAAATTTCCTGTCTACTCTGCAATTATAGTGCGCCTGAGAGTTAACATAAGCAAAAAGCAAAATTAAGTTGACTTCAAATTGAAGCCATACAATGTTTCCAAAAATATAAAAAAAACAGGTTGGGACAGTTCATCCTCACTTCGGGACAATTGAATATTTTGGGACAGTGCTGGGACAACAGGAAGAAAAGTGAATTTCGAGGCCTGGAGAGAGTGTTAAAGAACCCTTATCGAAAAGAGTAGGGGACCTTCCCGGTGTGAGTGGTTCAAACCTTAGTCTGGTCTCAGGTTTGACATCTTAAAGAGGTGATAGTCACCTGTTACTAGTATATCAATCCTTCCACAAATGTGGTAAATCATAATAAAAATTTAAATAAAATAAGTTAAAAATAAAATGAAATGAAAAATAAAATAAAATGAAATGAAATGAAATGAAATAAGGGCCTTGCTAATGTAATAATCTTAGCTGAAATTCACCACAAACACAACTTTTTAAAGCATTCAGGTGACCCTTTTTCAACCTTACTACTGTAAAACTTAATGTCTTGTGCTTGGTACATGGAAAACTGGTTAAAAGGGGATTGAAAACAATTAATGTATGGACCTTTTGAAAGATAACTTTAGTTGTACAATATAACTACATTGTATACGTGCAATTGCATCCCCTTTTTTTTCAACTACCCTCCCCCCCCTCCCCTAGCCTCTACCAGGCTTCAGAAGTGGTTGGAAAGAGTAGAAATTGGAATCAGAAATCTAACCAAATACACACTATAGAACAAGCTACCACGTGATTGTTTCCCAAATGGGTATAACCTTAAACTTTTGAAGTCTTTTTGGCATATATAACTCAGATAAAATAAATTCACTCTATTTGGATACATTTTGTATACATTAAACATTGTATTGAAATGAAAGGTATTATGACAATGTGCTTTGTATTTTACTTATAATGTCAAATTACACTTTCATTGACAATGACAATGAAGTATGTTGCATATTCATGCCCCATTTAGGCTAAATACAGTAAATAAGGTAGCTTCAAGAGAGTAAAATATCAACGGTTTATTTGTAATGAAACAACAAGAAGCATTTCCAGTCGGCCAACTAAATTACACAGTGTCACTCCTTTACATATTGTACTTAAAGTCACAATTCTTATTACACTAAAAATACCCAGACAAAACTATACATAATAGGGAAACTATGCTATGTTTAATATACCTAAGATCTATTACCTAAAATATACAATTACCTAAATTATAGTATAATTTCATGCTTCTCTCCTCTTGTGATATTTGTAGACAAATTTACACTTTTCCATTGCATTGTATACAGTAGTTTACTGATTAAATTATCTATCTGTATATCTCTCTATATTCCTACTCATGATCAATATATAATAACATCTTTTGTAATATGATTGTACATATGTCTGTTCTAACTGTATCTATTAGTGGCAAACTTTGATTTTAGTTGTTTTCTAAGTCAGGACTCTTTAGGCTGGGATCTTGGACAGTTTATCTAAAGCTGAATTATTTTGTACCAGATAATGAGTTTCTTGTGCTAGATATAGTAACAAGCTATATATAACAATGAGTTTGCAAACTGATATTCTTACAGATTGGTTTAGATTAAGTTGTTTGCTTTATTTTCACCTCACTTAGATTCAGAAGTTCCAGAAAATGCTGACAGTGTTGTCTCTATCATCAGTTACTACCAGCTGTCCCTGTGTTGCCATGGCAACAGCCCATGGCCTCCTCATGTCTGTAGCGATGTGTTTGAGGAATTTTCCTCTTTTGTCAAACATCTCCACACGGCTGTTTCCCGTGTCTGCCACGATGATGTTCCCTGCCCTGTCTGTACAGATGCCATAGGCATCCTTCAGCTGACCTTCACCACTTCCCTCACCTCCAAACTTGAACAGAAACTGTCCGTCCTCGTTGTACACAAAGACACAGTTATTGAACATGTGCTCGTCTGCCACAAGAATGTTCCCTTCCCCGTCCACAGTGATGTACACTGGTTTCTTCATCCCCTGCTGCTGACCCACAGTTCTCACAAGTGTTCCATCTGGCCTGAACATCAAAACTTCACCATGTCGGTTGGGCCAGTCTCCTGTGGTTTGTGTGATGAGGATTTGGTTCCTCCTGGTGTCCACGGCAACTCCTCTGCCCCACCCTGTCTTCTGTAGGTCAATCTTCCTCAGCACCCTGCCCTGTTTGTTGTACTGCACAGCAAAGTCAGCAGAGTCTATCCTCCCCACTACCCACAGGTTCCCCTCCCCGTCCAGGGCCAGATCTTCTGGGTCCATCTCCTCTTCACCTGGCACGACTGTTGGGAACTGTCGGACAAACGTTCCCTGCAGGGTGAAGACTTGGATTCTCTGGTTCTTTCTATCTGCTACAAAAATCTCCCCTTCATCTGACACTGTGACACCCCATGGATGCCTGAACTGTCCTGTTCCTATTCCCACTCCACCAAATGTCACCTTCTGAGGCTGATGCTCCCCTTGCCTTTGGTTACCATGGTGATGACCTGTGCCCCTTGCTGCAGGTGCTGCTGGGAGTGGTGCAGATGGGAGAGACTGGACCGTCACATGTCCCAATACTGGCACAGGGGTGTCTGTGGGCTGAAAGACAGCAGGCTGGGTTTGTACAGGAGTTGGTGCTGCTTTTCCTCTGTACTTTCCTACCACCTCTGTCATAGCGGTTTGCTGACTGAGAATCTCGACCCCTCCCTGCTGCAGTTCTTGTTCTGCTCGATCACAGGCAGCAGACAGTTCATTGACATCGGCCAACACTCGGTCCCTTTCAGTCTCTATTTTCTTCAAGTTTTCATTGTGATTTTGTTCCACTTTTGCCAAGAGTTTGTTGCAAGCCTGAGTGATAGCATTGTCTGTCTGCTGTTTTTGTTCATTCAGGATTTTCTCAGTCTCTCTCAGACCTCTGATGAAGCCACAGTAACTTTCCAGAATGTTCCTCCCCTCATGGATCAAGGCCTGGACTGTAGGTCTGCTTTCCTGTGCAGCTTTTTTGATGGTTGTTGTGGCATGGCCATCATGAACCCCCTCTATGCACTCTTCACAAACTGGCATGGGGCATTGTTTACAGTACATTATGTACACCTTAGTAGGGTGAAAACTGCACCTGTTTGCAGACTGGGGCTGCTGTGTTGTTTCCTCTGATGTTGTAGCTTGTTGTTGGAACCTCTCACACATGTTTGCTGCCATGAGATTGTCTGGCAAGCCTGCGACCCCCTGGGGTGGCAGCCTGACCTGCCGACGACAGTTTGGGCACTGGAAGGTCCCTCCCCTCCCTGCATGGTCCTGTAGACAGTCCTGACAGAAGGTGTGCTGACAGGGCAGCACCTTGGGCCTGGTGAACAGCTCCAGGCAGATGCTGCAGGACAGTTCTTTGCGGATTTGTGTCCCCAAACTAGACGGTGCAGCCGCCATGATTGTTTCCTGCTTATGTGGCAGCCTCGCCCCAAGTCAAAGTCCAGCTTACGTACATGTTTGCTCAGGGCCACTCCATTAGTAAAGGTGAGTTTGTTTAACCCATGCACCGGAAGTGTTTAATAGGAAGTTTATTGCAAAATACTAAGTGCCCGAGGGCAACATAAAGTCTGGTATTTACCAGGATCCCCCCATACAGACCCCTGTGTATAATCAGGATCCCCCCATGCAGACCCCCACTATGCAGCAGGATCAAGGCAGGGGCCAAAATTGAGTTTGGCTCGATGTCACAGTTATATAGTACAATAAGTCTGGTATTTTCCAGGATCCCCCCATACAGACCCCCATGTATTTATCAAGATTCCCCATGCAGACCCCATGAATTTATCAGGATCCCCTTATGCAGACCCCAGATATTTATCAGGATCCCCCCATGCAGACCCCATGTTTTATCAGAATCCCCCATGCAGACCCCATGTTTTTATCAAGATCCCCCATGCAGACCCCATGTATTTATCAGGATCCCCACATGCAGACCCCCATGTATTTATCAGGATCCCCCCATGCAGACTCCCATGTATTTACCAGGATCCCCCCATGCAGACCCCCATGCAGCAGGATTAGTGAGGATATCTGATATTGATTTGGGCTCGATATCACAGTTATATAGTACAATAAGTCTGGTATTTTCCAGGATCCCCCCATACAGACCCCCATGCAGCAGGATCAAGGCAGGGGTTCTGATATTGATTTTGGCTGGATGTCACAGTTATATACAATAAAGGGTGGGTCACCTTGAATATATATATAAAGTCTGGGATTTACCAG